ATAATAGAGTTTGATTAAATCTTATGAAGTATCTATAGTTAAACATCTTATTATCATCTTTAAAATAATAGATTTTACCAGATATGTGAATTAATAAATAAGCATTTTTTTGCACTATTTCATGAGTATAGGTATTATAACAATCTATGCAATTAGATTAAATTGAGCACAATGTGATGTTAAGTCACTCTTCTCCTTCAGTCATTACCGAATAGCGTTGTTCATTGAATTAAATCGCCCGGTCACTAATTAATCTAAAACAATGAACACTGCTAGGAAATCTAATCAGTCAAGAAGGAATACAATGAAAACAACGCGATCTATTCGCATGACGCGTCTCACTTTTTCATTAAATTTCCCGCCAAACAATAGAGAAACTCAGTTCCAACCCTGTTTTCTTTCAATCACTTAGAGCATTATCAAAGTGGATTTTTCTCCTATTCTGTAAGCAATTTTCTCTCACGAATGGGGTTTTTACCGAGTCGTTTTGTTTATCGATCAACGTTATAAGAAGAGTTTGGAATCGTGGTTGGACGTTGAAACCCCCGTTGGAAATTAAAGTCAAATTGGTAGAGGCAATTAATTGGTAGTCAAATTTGTTCGTGGTGTATCTTCGGTCATATATGTTATGTTTACTCACTTATTAAAAACTGTTTTATAAAACCAAAACATGACATACTTGTTTATCCTTTTAAACATGTCTTAAGTTTTGGTTGCTATTAATCCCTTGGTCCGTGTGGTTCGTTACCTATCCAGTACACACTCTATTTATTACATCCATCCTTGTAAATAATTATAAATCTCTGATATTCTTAGTTTTAAAATACTATAAACAATTTCGTCTCAATACAAAATCTAACTTATTATTTTATATTTTTTCATGATCTTAGTAACCAGAAATCCTGGTACGAAGATTGCATAGTTTATATAAATAACATTTTAAAAGTATTTTCTATTAAAAACCTTATGAAATACGAAGCCCTTAAATTTTAGATTCTAATACTGTAAATACTAAACAAAGTTACTTCATTTCAGAAGTTTAAATTATTTTATGAGTTATTTTTAATAGTAAGAATTCACAAAGATTGTTTTCATACCGATGCAACGCCAGGTCTCTGAAACGAAGGAAGAAGCTAATTTAAGTTTAATTAAGGAAGCTACTAATGGTTACAATTTTCATCATGAAGCTCAACTTGTTTGTTTACCTGCAAGAATCTTGTTTACAAGTTGACGGACTTAGGAGGTAGGAGCGATGGTGGATTATATTTGCAAGGGCTTCATACATTAAAAACACTTTTATGAGCTTAATTTTAATTTGTGTTAAGTAAACAAGGTTTTCGCTGCAAGCAAAATCAATGGAAAAGTCAAATTATGTTTATAAAACTGATGTGACCTCCATTTCTTAAAAAAAATACTAATATTTCAATCATATTGCTTTCATCTTATTTATATAAATAAAAAAAGGTCATTACTCTATAACCAACGGACGTTAATTAGTTTGTAGAGTACACTCGATTTCAAGGGGCAATAACAATCACTTTATTGGCTTTGCTTACCCGACCCTCTAATTGGTACGGACTGTTTCAAGATTACAGTTTTAACTAATGATCAAACTAAACTCAAGTAATCAACTTCCCAACTCTTTATAACTTTGGCTACTAATTAATCTTTGTGCTTAATCTAAAATTGTAATTTCCCCAAGGATTTGTGATAATTAACCAGAAACTGTGAGTTTAGTGTGGGTTATTACGTTTCAGTTTAGTAGATCTTCACCAGAAAAGAAAAATCACCACGTGCCCTCTCTCAATATAATATTTCGTGTTTTAGACAGGAGATAGGATGTTGATTAGCAATTGTTTTAATACGGTTTCGTCTACCTCCGATGGACTGAGCCCAGATTTTACTGATTATCTAATCCATGCAGTCCATTATAGAAGGATTTAAGTCACAATTCTTACGGCAAGAGTTATTCAAAACCTGTTGTACAAACAAATGAAGCAATATAGTTGTCGTTAGTTTCTCTGGTTTATAATTTTGGTGACCTTGGGGAAGCTATATTGGACAAGCCGGGGGCGGCACAAGCTCTCTACTCTCCTTCCCCCACGACAGAAAGTTGCATGGATGTACACGACGGATATACACTAAACAGCAAATGACAACCTGTCCCGCCGTACAGCTTCCTCAAACTCTGTAGGGGTACTGCTTAAATTAGCATTACGATGTTAAAACGTTCTTAACGTCATCTTGCACGCACAATATTTGCGTTTCTAATGGACAAAAAATTTTGATTAACATATTATTATTATTTCAAATATTACACTGCATCACTTAAAAGAGCATTATATCAATTATAAGATTCTGGTGACATCTTAATTTTACTAGTTTCCTGTTGGTTCATTAACTTACCTCGCTGTATGGGCCTAGCTTAATTTAGGGCAGCACAATAAAACGTAAACAAGTCATGTTTATAAGTAACCCCGCAGACAAGTTGCGTAATGGTGGTGATATATCGGGCTAGGGGTAGTTTACGACTAGGGGGTCACCGAGCCACCAACAAGGTTACGGTATATGAGTCGTAAAGACCAGAATAAACAGTGGTACAGTGACTCTCGATAGACTACTGCCAGACTGAACCGATGAAGATAATGGATGCTGGGTTTTGTGTCCATATAACACACAACTGTAAAGCAAATTATGTCCATAACTGGTAAGACGATTATGGAAATAACTAAATGTTATTTAATATTATAAATATAACTAAATGACTAACTATATAATGTTTTTCATTTTAATATATATGGTGCAAGTATTTTTGCACAGATCGAATATACCTGTAGTAAAAATATAATAAATAGTGTAATGGGTAAAAAAAGTTAAAAAAAGTTGTTAATACATATTTTTTTATTGACCTATAGGATTATTGAGTTCAGACAAATTTGTCCTTTAGCTGTTAATTATTAAAGATTGTTTGTATATTGACAATTGACAGTATCAAAGCCATAAACTAGGCATCGATTAAAATGAAAGAAACTACAACATTAATGTGGTTCGACATTAACGGTCGTCAAATAAATACAGGGCATTTCTCTAGATAATATTTTTATAATTAATTATCAAAAGTAACTGCAATATTTCCTCCTGGAATATTCCAGGTAAAATAGACTCTACTTGTTATGTTAATAATTTTAAAATAGTGCTGAACTGTGTATAGATGGACTTAAAATTTTAAAAGTGTTAGATGAAAAAGTGTTATTCTTATTTGAGTTGTTAATCCTCCAGCTTACAATACATCATTAATCTTATACTTATTTGTCAACAAAGCTAAATTACTAACGATAAACGACATAAATCTTCAGCTGTTAGCACTGACGCTAGCCAAGCTATATTCAAACTAGCCGGGGACAAACACTCGCTGCTCTGGTTTCCTGCAATGAGCTTAATGTTGTCCCGAGCCATGTACGTATTAAGTAGCTTCACCATTAGAGTTGACATTTACCGGTTTTAGTAATTTCACTGCTTGGAGACCATGAAAACTCTTTATTGTAACATTGTCTTTACTGCCAAGTTTTTATGGACGCTCCGTTTCTTCTTTATGACCGCGACCTTAATACTTCTAGGTTCTGTTTTGCCCGCTCTCCGCCTCAAAATTACCATTTGTTTCCGGTACGCATTTTAACGGTAGACGGATACGTTTTTTTTTTCATATTGTACGCCGCAGAATGCCACGGTAATGTTTTTTGCACGTGGTACAAATATCAACATTCGATGTATTTTAATTCTTTATGAGCGAAATTAATGTAAATTTCATGTACCTAATTCTTTCTATGTATTTTATTTTTTTACGAGCGATATGATGTACCTAATTCATTCTATGTATTTTAATTCTTTATGAGCGATATGATGTACCTAATTCATTCTATGTATTTTAATTCGTTATGAGCGATATGATGTACCTAATTCATTATATGTATTTTAATTCTTTATGAGCGATATGATGTATTTACAAATTTTAATGCCAACTACGTAGTACCATTGTTTTATTCTTGTTTATTTGGGAATTCAACAATAATAATTGTTTAGGGTACAGGATTTAAACGTAAATGAAACTTATTTATACTAAAAATTAGTTTATTCCGCCTGAATGTGAAATAAAAATTTATGAATTTAATTTATTTAATCACACGTAATCAATATTATAATAGTTTTTGTTTAAATCAATTATATTAATTTAATCTGTTAGAGATTACTTATTTATTGGATATGTTTTTTCCTTTCACTAAAAGATAAAGTTTATTTTTACCTAATTATGTTTTGGATGAATTACGCACGAAAAAAATTCCATAAAAATGTTTATATAAAACAAAGCAACAAGTGTTGGCTTTAAAATACTGATGTAAAAAAGTAATAATAAGAAACCTAGTCAATCTATTTGTTAAAATTCGGTTGAAATCTGCTTCAAGCAAAGCGTCATGGCTTTAAAAATTGTACCCAAAACACGTATAATTGCACGTGCTTGCGCAGTTTTGTCAACACGGCGCAAGTTCCACAGCGCATTTTGTCAACGTAGCCGCTCACTTCCCTGAAGAGACTGTTAAATTCAATATCAACTAACATTGTTTTGATTTTTTCATGTATCTATGTGTACAATATTTCTCACCATACTAAAATTTAATGTATGCCATAAATGTGTTTTTTTTTATTTGTGAATTTATATGTTATTTATTCTGAATGTGTATGTATTATGACTTATTATAGGAAATTGTATATAAAAAAAGAAAATATTAAAATTTCAAAACTTCCCTTATCTAATTTTGCGGTATAATTGAGCTATCCTGTATGCCCGATTACTGACAGGCTGTGCCGAAAACAGTGTTGTTGTCTTCTTTCTATATCGAAGTCATGTTCATATCCCGAGCGTACTAGGACAAATTACAATATTATAAAACTACAACTAAGTGTGTTATAACCGACGAACCGTCTAGCAAGTGTCAGATACTTACAGCAGATGCAGAGTAGAGCTAAGACAGAGGTGTAGGCGCGCATGTTGATCACTGGAACGCCCAAGCGCCACTGTTCCACTGGGCTCTCCAGCCTAGTACCTTCTCCTAGCCCCCTCCAGCCTCATCCCACACTACCAGGCGTTGGGTAACTGGAGTCCAGACGCTCTTCATTCATACGGTAACAGAGAAATGGGCCAGTAATCTGTCAATCAGTTTTGTCACCTAGACATTGCTCGCGCGCTCTAAGGCATCAGGTAACACGTGAAAGACAAACAAAAGCTATGTCACAGAAGAGCTTTAAGCTTTTCTAAACGATTGCAGTAAGAGTTACTTCGAAGTTGTATCTTTTTAGAGCTGCTCGAGGATTGCTTCGTTTGCATCAGTTTGAATTAGGATTTGAGTATGAAATTGATTTTACCTTTGATATTATGCCAATGGAATTTTTGTGGATCTACATTTATTTTTCTAACTTGTTTTGTTTATTTGCTACTCCCAATTCTTTAATATTCATAAAAGAAATATATGAGGACATAGCTTTAATAGTTAAGATATTGATATACGGTGAAATTTACATCTAAAATAATCTAAATCGATTAAAATATAAATAGGAGTTCGAGTCACAAAACCACCTGACATTGTAGTCTAAATTACTAAATATCGAAGACAATAATTCTCTTGAGTGATTCTATCATTGACTATTGGATACTGAAGTTGTATCAATAGTTAAAGATCCTATACATTAAGCTGAAACCAGGAATCCCTTTTTACACGAAATAATTTTAATTCCGTCAAATAATGGAAAGACACATTTTATGAGCAAGGTAAAATTGAATTATGCATTGAATAAAATAAACGCCTATGGGTTGGTTAGTAGGTCATATTCACGGTTAACTCTTTCGTGCTAAATCCATTTAAAATTAGGATAATACAATTAAACTTCACAGTCTAAACATCTACTAAAACTTTGCTTTTAGAACAGGATTACGTTTAAAACAAAGTTTTGACAAAACCAAGGTTTAGCGCAGTACAGATTAAGATGAACACGAGAAGTTGTCACGAGATTGTGACTTGGAGTTGGTGTGAAATTGCTGCCCAAGGACTTCTTCCCCCTTCTCCACCCAAATACTCGCTCCTACTACCCTAGCCTTCCTTCATATAAAATACGGTATCCCACAACGTACCGACCATGTCAAACATGACGACAGTTTGTCTTTATTTGTGTGTTACGAATCTGTCAGGACAACATTTGATATTACTTGAAATCCTTTCATTTATCAATTGATAACACTATGATCATTAAATTTTAATTAAATACCTAATCCTAGGTATATACTTATAATTGGAGTTGAATTATATTGTATTATTTATTGATGTCGGTGATCCCATCTTTTAACTGTATTGTATGAATATGTACGATAATAGAACATCCCAAAGACGTTTTGACCTAGAGATGAATTGTTTCAGGGTTAAATAATTCATAAGTAGTGTTAAAGATACCTAATCTAAGTTATCTTAATTTTTAGCCATGTAATCTTTGTAAAGCAATTTGAAACAATAAGAATTTTATTATTTCAGATTTTTATTTTCTATTTAGGTAAAATTTCTTGCGGTAACACATTCAACTCTATTGACAACCAGTCGTAAAATGCAAAAGTAAAGTGTAGAAGAAAATGTGTTATCAGAAGACGTGTTTATATCATGTTTACAGAGCGGGACATCTAACTAAGATGGTCACATTTCATCCCCTTCAGTTGACACTGACCCTTGTGGGAACGCCCCCAATAGGTGATTTCAAGCCCATCTCTACCGTAGGTCCATTTATTTATGAAATTAGCAAACAATGTATCTCTCGCCCAAAAACGTCGTCTCTTAATTTGAAAATGTTGTTTTGTTTTACTGTATTACGAAGCTTAATATTTATAAAATGTTACTTTATACAGTATATACTCAAGCAATAATTTTACCATTGTAGGCTGTATAATGTATACACCCACTGACACTTACACCCTATCAACCAAAGATCTCCTTTTTGAGCAGATTGCAAAAGCAAATGAAAGCTAAAATAACAAGAAAATTGTGTCGTACATGAAATTAGTTTAAAGAAATGTTCTCAGATACAGTTAAGTAATTAAGCTAGTTTTCGTCATCGGTGGCTTGGCGCTGCAGTGTCATCATGTCAATTATCGTTATGAAACTTGAGTGTGCAGCGGCAACTCCGCTAGTGAAATGCCGTCCTGGGGCCTTACGCAGAAACTGGTGGCGTTGTTGGGCTTACATTACACGTTCCATGCCTGGGACGTGTCAGACACTAGTGCAGTTTCAATTTTGTTTTAAGTTTCGCATTTCATATTTTTATATCAATAGGCAATGTTTGACTACTAATTGGTAAACGCAAGTCTAGTGTTCAATAAATCATTAGTTAATCAAAATTATGAAAGTTAATTTTTATTTTTATTTTTATTCTGATTATTTGGTATTTTTTAATTGTACTTGAGGGTGACAATTTTGTTTAGCTCAGTCTGATCAATAATAAGGATCTGCATTATACTTGCATCTTTAATTACCCGTTTTTACTAAAGTAGACGTACAGTAATTATGCATTTGGGTATATTTTTGTGTAATGTTGATAAAAAAAAATTTAACTATACAAATTTATAAATAGATAAATTGTAAAAAATGTATTATTATTATTAACTTTACTTGGGGAAATTGCTTCCGTAAAACTCACTTTTCAATCGAAGGCAATACGTAAAGGGTAATTTTCTTAACATGTAACTAAATGAATTATTTAGCCATCGATAGAATAAACCAAAATATTAAAGGAACTTCATTTCTTGTCTGTAACATGAAACAGATCGATCGGACACAGCTTGGCCAGATTATATGAATTAAACATTTCTTGTGAAAGAGCCCCAAGAGTAATACTGGATGGTATTGGCTTGTTAACAATGGTCTAGGCGCTACGATTTGTGGGTTTGGGACTTGGCCAGAAGTGGATTTCCCGAAGTAATAAGTTATATCAAGAACTTAAAAGGGCTGACCCATCGCATAATGCTACACATGCTTCCAGGGTATCTTGGCCTCTTCATTGCTCATTATTAAACAGCTTGGTGTGATGATGGTATGAAATGAGCTTTCTTAAGTTCTTAAATTTAGATGCTAGTGCTGTAATCTCAACATTGGGTATAATTCTCTAGTGAAGCAATGCAACAATTGTGTGAATTATTGCACTCGCCAAGACTCGTACCTTAAAAATAGTATCAAAAAGTACCTATGACAGTGATGCAACAAATCATTGTACCAAACACTAATAATTGCACCTATCATTAACAATTAACTTGTTCTAAACAGCTGATTAGATTAAGTTCAAAGTATACAATTTTAATTCTTCTCTCTCAATCCTTGAACTTCATTGGTCCGTTACCCGTGTTGTTAAGCAAAACAACAGCGCTGTTAAGTAAGTAAACAATACTGTTAAGTGAATCTTTTCAATTCTATGAACTGAACTGAAAAGGGTACTTTCAAAAACGGTCGTAGGTAGATTCTTTAACATAATAATTGTAATTAATTCAATCAACATCATGTATTCCTTAGCTATTGTTTTGTTACTGTGTGTTCATTATTCCCTTTATTATCGCGCCAAACTTGAAATATTTTATACAATAAATCATCAATAAGCTGAACACATTAAATCATAAGAGTAAGTGCATTTTAAGAGAGTTGTGATAAATGTATGTTTCAGTTACGTCATAACCACAACAATGGAGTTCTAAAGCTCCACATAAGCTTGATTAGTTCTCACTTACAGCATACAGACGAGCATCATTAGTGCTTCAAGTGCAATACATATCCATTATTAGTTTAGACGCTGTTACACTGCTTTTATTGAGTTCATCTACTAGTCCTTAATATGTTTTCATAGTCAGTTTGAATAAAATAAACTATTAAGGAGAATGGATAGTAATTACATATTTATTAGGCCTAGTACGACTAGTAAAATAATTCCGTCACAGCAAACCTGCATACTACGCGAATTTTCATTTGCCTGGTTATATGTCCACTAAAATATCTCCTTAAACATTTCATATTTATTTTTATGTATTTAAATTATATTGGTTTAAAGAATAGAGTTGCTGCTACAGGGAAGGTAATGAAGTATCTTTATAGTTATATGTTCGTAAAGTATAGTATGAAATAATTTTCTTTCAAATTTGAAATAAATATGTTCATAAGCAAGCAAACCACAAAAGTTGACTTATTCTCCTTAACAAGAACATGGGATTTTACAAGTTTTTTATTATCTCCTCAACCATCAAGCGCATGACAATGCTTTAATATACTAAATTATTTGTTTTGTTAATCTCTACAATATGGTTTAGACAGATATTGCAAAATTGTTTGTTCCAGTGTCAAAAAATGAGACAAGCCAATTCCCCATAGTACGACCACGCTAGTTCATGAACTCGTTTAAATTTTTCGTTCGGCGTTTACACGATTGCATAACTGCAGTTTATTTCGTTTAGGCCTTTTTTATATTGGCGTTTTTGTGTAAGTGGTTGACATTAAAAAATGTTCCATTAAATCAAATGAATTGTGTCTTGTTCTGTAGGTTAATTTAAAACTAGGCAAACCTCGTTAAAATCGACTGTTACTGTTGGGTTTTCAAGTGAAATCATTACACTATCAATACATGATAAATAACTCAATTTTTGGAACAATTTGGGTTGTTCGTGATTCAGCAGCGTACTTCAGTTACGTCCGATATTAATAATCAATAACTCAAATGAAAGCTGGTATTACACTGCAGGTTCTTAGATCAAAACATACAGGATAACGTAATTAGAGTTGAGTAAATATATCTAAAATTAAATTCCATATCCAATAATCAATTTTTTGTTGTTTTTTAATTGAGTAACACAGTACCTTGTACTTAAGTTATTCAATCGACCAACGTCTCAAATGAAAGCCTTTATATCTAGGAATATTTTCTTACAAATAAATAACTGAAATAATAATGGAGTTACGTAATATTGTTGGCAGATAAGTCCCAAAATAATGATTATTACTGATGATTCGTGATTCAGCACCGTGCTTCAGGTGCTTCAGGGTCTTGATAAAATACAC